CTTCACCACCGCTGATCTCACGTTTGCAGTGCCTGAGAAACTTAGGTGCGATCCCCAGGAAAAGACCCGAGTTGGGGGCCACACCCAGCCTCGCTCAACCGTGAGTGGTGTCAAGTCAATGGGATTCCATTGGCTTTGGAAAGAAGCTACCAGAGTGCTGAGATCTGCTGGATACGCTGCCTGTATCAAGCTAGGTCCTAAGAGGGAACGCTCCAGGCCAGGCCAGTGAGTGGCTCACGTCTGTTCATCCCTGCTACTCAGGAAGCTGAGATCTGAGGATCACAGTTCCAAGCCAGCCTCAGCAGACAGAAATCTGAGAGACTCCTCTCCAATTTAACCCATGACAAGCTGGAAGTGGAGCTGTGGCTACACTGGTAGAGCACCGACCTTTAGTGAAAAAGCCAAGTCTGAGCATGAGGCCCTGCAGTCAAGCCCCAGTAACCTTCCGTGGCCTTCCTTCAGCAACTTGACCCCATTTCACTAAAAGTATGTTTTTCCCCAGCGTGGCTCCTGTTGGGCTATGTGTGCAGCGAGCCCTCGGGGCACAAGTGCCTTTTCAAAAGGCACCTGTGGCCTGCCTATCCGCTCAGCAAACATTTCCGCCAGCTAGAACAGCTGCACCGTCCTCTGCTCCCACAAGATTTACGCTTGTTGCTCCCTTAATTGAATAATGTGTCCACTTAAAGGTTTGCCTCTGGCCATCAAAGACACAAACTCTCCCCGAGCCCAAGGTACCTTTCTGAGATAGTCCTAGCAAGTCTCCTTACCCCACACTGCAGAGTGGCCAGGATATGAAACTACCAACATAGTCTTTGCCTCTCTGTGTGCTCTTTGCCTCCTTGGCTTTTCTGTTGAAAATCCCAAAAAAGGGCAAAGACACCCACAGATCATAATAACATGCATACAAAGATCCTACATAAAAAGCCCAGTATGCTCTTGACAGCCAAATAAAATCATTCAGAAGAAAGAGAAAAGAAAATCAATAAACCAATAAAGAATCAATAATGATGAACTGTGATAAATTAAGAGACGTGCTATCATCAGAGTCACGCCGGCTTTCTGAGTCTATACTTGGGGTGTTTTGTCTGCCCTAGAGCATGAACTCAGGGCCTGAGCACTGTCCCTGAGCTTTTCTGCTTCAGGCTCTACTGCTTCTGGCTTTTGGTCATTAACTGCCTGAGCTGGCTTTGAACCACGATCCTCAGATCCAAGGATCACAGACGTGAGCCATTAACATGTTCCAACATGAAAATAACTCATGTTGACAGAAGGCCTCCTACCTCCCACTCCCAAAGTGAGTGCTGTCAGGTCCCCGGGATCCCTGGGGTCCCTCAGAGGTGGAGACACATTTGCAGCCAGGCCTCCCTGGTGGTCTCAATGGAAGAGTCCAGCTGTTACATTGAGGGAGAAATGACAGCTCTGTGAATGGTGACTGCCAGGAAACCCCAAGCCAAGTCACAGGGACAAACACAAAACAAATTACAATCCCAGCAGGGGCCTGCCTCCCTCAGCCCTCCATCTGAAAAGGAGCAATTGCATGGATTCCTAATGCAATGCGCTGGTCCCTAAAATTACCCTCCTGTGGACATTTTTCAGTTTTGAAATGTCAGAGAAATAAGCTGTCCATAACCAAATGCTCTCTCAGAAAAAAAAAAAAAAGAAAGGAAGGGAGGGAGGGAGGGAGGGAGGGAAGGAGGAAAGAAGGAAGGAAGGAAGGAAGGAAGGAAGGAAGGAAGGAAAAAAAAGGGAATGTGTTCCTGAAAGAGACCCTATCTGAAAAAACTCAAAACAAAAGGTGGGGGGTTATGGGATGGAAGTCCCCAAAAGTCAGTCCCCAGGAGAAAGCAGAAATAGAAAGACACAAAGAGACAGAAAGATAGAAAAAGAGAGGAGGAGGAAGAGGAGGAGGAGGGGGGAGGAGGAGGAGGAGGGGGAGGAGGAGGAGGAGGAGGGGGAGGAGGAGGAGGAGGGGAAGGGGGAGGGGGAGGAGGGGGAGGAGGAGGAGGGGGAGGGGGAGAAGGAGGGGGAGGAGGAGGGGGAGGAGGAGGAGGAGGAGGAGGAAGAGGGGGAGGAGGAAGGGGAAGAGGAGGAGGAGGAGGGGGAGGAGGAGGAGGAGGAGGGGAAGGGGGAGGAGGGGAAGGGGGAGGAGGAGGAGGGGAAGGGGGAGGAGGAGGAGGGGGGAGGAGGAGGAGGAGGAAGGGAAACTCATCAGTAAAAATCACCACCCCAAACCCGTAGGCGTTCCTGGGAGGAAGTGACTGCCCAGCCACAGAAGAAGGTTCTCCTATTGCTACTGAAAAGCAGAAGTCACATTAAATTCAAAATACCAAGGGGGGAAAAATGTACAGAAGTTCCTAAATTTAATCATTTTATATACCCACGCCCCCACCCACCCCCACAAAAGAAAACCCCCCACGAGATAAGAGTTACTGCTTTTTATATATGGACACTGCGTATTAAAGATCCTCCGTCCCTTGTGGGAGCAGGGGCAACAGAGGGGAGACAGGAGAAAAAAGAATTCGCCCGATTCTATCAGCTACTAGAACGACATCTAGGATTTGGGGGGCCGGGACGGGTTTGATGGGAGGGGCAGGGCCTCTAACGTCAGTGATTTTCACTGAGCTTCCACTGGGATAAACTCTAGTTGTGTCCAATTTCCGATTCGGGACACCCTTAGATTTGAGGCGCTCCCTCACCTCTTGCCAGCAACTGCCCTTCCATCCCCACCCCCACAGTCAGAGGCAGGGACTATGGAGGGAGAGCTAGGTCAAAATTCCTCCCCAACCTGTGCCCATTGGCACCATTCCCCTTTTCACCTGGGTGTTCTCTGTACCTTAGTCTCAAGAAAGCACCTGTAAAATACAGGCAGGAGAGCATCCAGGCAAAGACTGTTTAGCTCAGAGCTAGAGAAGTTACCTAGCAGCTGTCCACAGAAAGAAAAAAAAAACCCTCCCTCCCTGTTTGTTTTTCTTTTCTAAGACAAGTAATACAGAAGTGATCTAGAGTCTGAGTCTCAGTGTTCGTACAGAACTGTGAGGACCACAGTCACTGAGCCTAGCTTTGTGTCTCTTCCTAGAGATCTGTGCAACACAGGACACTGCTAATTAGAAGGAGGGCATCAAAACACAACCCACGGACTTTGGTCAGAGACTCATCATTAACCTGATGGACAAGCCTTCCGGGGGCAGTGTTATCAACAGGAACCAGGAAAACCCTAAGATCCAACAACTTTTACTAAAAACCAATGCCCAAGTCATTGGAGGTAAGATGAAGACTCGGTGCGGGCTGGACCAGACACCTGGCCACCTCATAGGCAGCCCTTCTTGGGCAATTTAACAACCAATTCCCATCTGGCATCAACAAGGAAAACGGATTTTTAAGTGACTCTCACGTCAACCTTTTCAAACAGTGCCACTGGGAGGCGGATGGCAAGCTGAGCCCAGCCCAGGTGGCACGCTTGGTCCCCAAGGAAAGTGGCTGGGGTCCAGTATGCTTGTGGCCGCGGTACAGGGGGAAGTAGAGGAAGGAGAAGGCTAGACAGCTGGGCCACCCGGGGGGAAAACCACTGGGGACCGCAGTGTGGGGACCTGGAGAAAAAAAAAGGGCAGGGGAGGGACTGCTGGGACAAGAAATGGTGCCAAGAAGGAAGTAGCAGGTTGGAGTTCTGAGAGGGACAGGGATGAGAGCCCTGGAGGGACAAAAATGGGGCTGGCCAGAGCACCGTGTGAAATGGGGGCCTTCAGGGATAGACAAGGTGGACAGGGTCGGGGCAGGGGGCAGGGAGCTGGGGCAAGAGGCAGAGCTGGGGCAGGGGACAGGGCTGGAGGACGGAGCTGGGGCAGGGGACGGGGCTGGAGGACAGAGCTGGGGCTTGGGGGGACAGGGCAGGGAGGCAGAGCTGGGGCTTGGGGGAACAGGGCAGGGGACAGGGCAGGGGGGTCAGGGCAGGGGGGTCAGGGCAGGGAGGCAGAGCTGGGGCAGGGGACAGGGCAGGGGGGTCAGGGCAGGGGGGTCAGGGCAGGGGGGTCAGGGCAGGGAGGCAGAGCTGGGGCAGGGGACAGGGCAGGGGGGTCAGGGCAGGGGGGTCAGGGCAGGGAGGCAGAGCTGGGGCAGGGGACGGGGCTGGAGGACAGAGCTGGGGCAGGGGACGGGGCTGGAGGACAGAGCTGGGGCTTGGGGGGACAGGGCAGGGGGGTCAGGGCAGGGAGGCAGAGCTGGGGCGTGGGGGGACAGGGCAGGGGGTCAGGGCAGGGAGGCAGAGCTGGGGCAGGGGACGGGGCTGGGACGGAGCTGGTCACTTCGGAGCCCGGTGTCCCCGCAGTTCCCCGTTCCACGGACTGGCACCCGGGCGACACCGGGATTGCGGGGGGTCACCGGCAGAGGGGCGCGGCCTTCAGGACGCAGCGGGTCACGGGTCGCGTGGGTCGGGGGCCGCGTGGGTCGGAGGCCGCGGGGCTCGGGGGTCGGAGGCCGCGGGGCTCGGGGTCGGGGGGCCGCGGGGTCGGGGTCGGGGGCCCGGGGTCGGGGGTCGGGGGCCGCGGGGTCGGGGTCGGGGGCCCGGGGTCGGGGGTCGGGGGCCCGGGGTCGGGGTCGGGGGCCCGGGGTCGGGGTCGGGGGGCCCGGGGTCGGGGTCGGGGTCGGGGGCCGCGGGGGTCGGGATCGGGGGCCGCGGGGGTCGGGGTCGGGGGCCCCGGGGTCGGGGTCGGGGGCCCGGGGTCGGGGTCGGGGTCGGGGGCCGCGGGGTCGGGGTCGGGGGCCGCGGGGGTCGGGATCGGGGGCCGCGGGGTCGGGATCGGGGGCCCCGGGGTCGGGGTCGGGGGCCCCGGGGTCGGGATCGGGGGCCCCGGGGTCGGGGTCGGGGGCCCCGGGGTCGGGGTCGGGGGCCCGGGGTCGGGGTCGGGGTCGGGGGCCGCGGGGTCGGGGTCGGGGGCCGCGGGGGTCGGGGTCGGGGGCCCCGGGGTCGGGGTCGGGGGCCCGGGGTCGGGGCCCGGCGCGGGTACCTGGGCTCGGGCAGGACGATCTTCTTGCTGGCGCGCGCGGCGGGCGCGGCCTTGCTCTTCTCCATGGCCATCAGGTAGCTGACGTCGGCCAGCACGGCCTCCAGGTCCGCCATGTTGGCGGGTGGCGGCGGCGGCGGCGGCGGCTCCTCGGGACCGGACGGGACGCGCTCCGCCGCCCGCCCGCCGCGCCCCGACGTGGGGGGCCGGGACAGCGACGCGCGCTCCCGCCGCCCGCGCGCGCGCTCCGCCCCGGTCAGGCCCCGGGGGTCGGTGGGGGCGCGCGCCCAACGGTCCGCGCCCACGGCGCCGGGCCACGCGCCGCCGCGGCGGGCTGACCGCGTCCCCGCGGCCGGCCACGGGGACCGTCCCTGCCCGCCCGCCTCCTCCCGCTCCCTCTCTCCTCCCGCCCCGCCCTCGGTCGCCACGCCCCTCACATAGCCACGCCCCGGACCCCCAGCGGTGCCCCGCCCTCCTCTTGCCACGCCCCCGACCCCCGCAGTGGCCAGGCCCTCAGCTCGCCACGCCCCCATCCCGCGGTGGCCCCGCCCCCACGCGCCATGCCCCGCCTCCCGCGGTGGCCCCGCCCTCCGCTCGCCACGCCCCCGGCCTGGTGCCCCCTGCCCGCGGGTCGCACGGAGGTCTCGGTCCACCTGTGCGCGCAGGAGTCCGGGCAACCCCAGGTGACCCCCAGCCTCGGAGCCCCCCCAGCCCTCCGGGAGCTGGTATTTCTCAAGCACCTCGCCGAGCCCTCGGCGGGCCTGGCCGCGAGCGCACAGCCCCGTCCCGGCCCGGGGTTTTAGAGAGACGCCCAACTCCAGCTCGCTATCTCTTTCCCATTTCCTTGCAGCGGGGCCACGAAGGCCACACTCAGGGCTACAGTGGGGCGAGGACGCCCCGAAAGCCTGGCGCTCTGGGGTCACACTCCTTGACCCTAGACGGGACTAGAGTGGGCGTGAGAGTGTGGCCATTAGTGGGTCAGAGGACCTCGGTTAGGTTCGGCCCCGTGGCCGAGCGGGAGCAGCACCCCCCCACAACTTGGCCAGTTTTCCGGGGTGTTCCTCAAGCACCAAGGCCCGAGCGGGACAAGGTCGGATGGGAGCGTTTGGAACTGGCACTGGGGCCGGCGGCCGACAGCCAGATTCCCAAAGGAAGTCGGGAATATGTAAATGTCCTGGAATATGCTAATTAACGCTGCTATGTTAATGAGTCCAGAACATGCTGATGCCTCTGGGATATGTAAATGAGTCCAGAATACGTCTGGACTATGTTAATATCATAGAGATGCTTAAGCCCCAGCAAGGAATTACCATCTTCCACCCACTTCCCCCACACACACCCTCCACCCAAATCCTGGGAACACCAAATACCCTGTCCGGGCTCACCCCTGGAGGGGCAGGCACCACAAGGCAAGCCTTGGCTTTAGGACTGAGTGAAGACAAGTTTCCCCCAACGTGTGTGCTTTTCGCTCCAGCTTTTGGACTGGGTTCGGTCATCAGGCAGGTGGACAGATGTACTTCGGCTCCTCTGGCTTTGCCTTGGTGCATAAAATAACTTGGAGAGGGGAGGGAAGTGGCTTCTTTTTTTCTTTTTTTTTCAGCATTGGCCTTTTGAAAGGAGACACCTGAATGTAAATCCCCTGGGCTGGAGGAGTGAGGGGGAAACTCCTTGCTTTAAGCTCTCCCCCTCTCCCTCTCCCTCCTCACTCCCTCCCTCCCTCTGCATTTTTTTTTTTTTTTGGTCTCCCTGGGGAAAGGATGAAAAGGCCATTTATTTTCCCTGCCCTGCCGCACCCCAGGGACCAGGAAGGCACCTGGCCTGACCCCCAGTAGATAAGACCGTCGTGGTACGGGAGACACTGAAACCCTTCACAAATAGTTACCCCTCACCAAAAACGACATCTGCGCCTTGCATCCAACCAAACGGTCAAAACAACAACAAAGTTGTGTCTTTATTATAGAAACACATACTCTTACCCCACCCCCAAGGAGATCGGCTGGCCTTTACCCAGGGGTATTCGCGGGATGAGGGCTCCGTGCTTGAAATTGAATAAGCGTCCATCCCCGACTCTGCCAGGGCTGAATTGCTGTAAGTAATTCTGTTAAACTTCTACAGCTCGCCCACATCACCGCTAACTCATGAAGGAGTTGAACCTGCTGCTCCCCTAGGTCCCCTCAAATTAACAAAAAAACAAACAAACACCAGTTTAATTTAATTCTGCCTCAACCTTCTTGCTGAGAGAGCCTTGCTCAGTCCGGAAACCATGGCTTGGATTGAGGTTTTGGCATGTGTTTCCAGCCCGCCTGTCCTGACTCTCCACAGCTGGCCAGCAGGTGAGCAGCACCCCTCCCCCCCCCAAAAAAAAAAAAACCAGCTAATTTCACAGCCTGGATGTTGTAGGTGGTCCAGGCAGCCTGCTGGGCACAGGCTCTGGGAACGGACAGTGGAACTTGAGAGCCACCAGCTGTCTGAGGCCAGGGGTGGCCGGTGAAAACCCTCCCTGGAGTGGGTGGCCCAGAGAACTTTCCAGAATAGGAAGTCTATTCTCTGGCCTTCTGTGTGGCTTTGTTTTAGGCTGTGGACCGCGGTGCCTGTGCCTTCCCAGTGACCCTCTGGACTTCCGGGCTCAGATGTTTGGATTTGATGGCGGGCCGAGGGGAGGTGGACAGCCAGGCCTGGGTCAATTCCAGAGCCCATCTGGGGCCTCTTGGTGGGGGGAGGGATGGCCGGGCATCACGAGTCACACAAGGACAGGACTTCCCCGCGCTGCCAGCTAACCTCTGGCCCTTCACCTGGTGGCCTTTCCTCTCACCTTCTGTCTGAGCCACGCAGCTGGAGCTGGCACCCCACCCAACCCAAAGCCGGGTACAGCGGCCCATGCCCGCCATCTCAGCACCCACACAGCAGGCAGAGGCAGGTGGGGGCTCGGAGGCTGCCCAGGCTTCATGGGCCTTTATTCTGAGACCTCTGGGAAGCCGTTGGAAGGGATTCCCCAAGCAGAAAATTCCCGGGGGCACACGTGGGTCCCCAGGCCTGGCCTTCCCCCCTCAGTGAACTTAGTCCAACACGAAGACACCTAGAGGGGGAAGGAAAGGGAGGAAGTTGCGATCTTCTGGAGGCTTTTCCTCCTAAATGGCTTTAAATAGAGGAAAAGAAACAAGCAGATGGCAGCTGGGTCCACCAGGCCTTCATTTTACTAAACAAACAAGGAGCCGAGCGATGCCAGGCATAAGTCCCCCCCTCCCCCCACACACACACAAGAGGCTTCTGGAAGAAATGGGCATCTCACAGCCTGACTCCTCCCCTCCCAGCTCCACTGTGTCATCCTGTGGACACCCTGACTCTGATCCAGAAGCTTCTCCCCACAGAAACCCAGGCAGCCCCCCTCCCCCCGCCGCTCCCCACTCCAGCCTGGGACTTTCCATCACTCTACCAACTGCTCCCACAACCCAACCAAGTGTCCAGGAGAAAGAGATTTCCTTCCCACCACCATGCAGCCCTCATGAGAACATCTCCGGCAGTTCGATTCAGAAAGCCATCATGAAAAGAAACAAAAAAAAAATCTCCCCCATCCTGAAACACGTCATCATTTGGGGGTTCTCCCAACAAGAGCCATTCTCTTCTGCCAGCTCAGCCAGGAGGCAAGCTGGTTGTCACTCAAGATTCCTGAGATCAATTAAATGTCAGGCTTTTCCATTCTCCAGCAGCTTCCAGTAGACAAAAATGCTTTTCAGAAACTCTTCCTTCCCCTTGGGGTTCTTTCCTTAGAGCTTTTTAAATTAATGTAACAACAGAGATCAAGCTCTGTCGCAGGCTCCTCTCCAGAGCACAGAGCCAGCCTGCTGAGCATGGCCGGGCTGATGTACCCTAGGCCTTGGAGCTACCATTTTTGTTAGCAGACCTTAGACTTCATGGTTGAGCCCCTCCCTCCCTCCCTCCCTCCTTTGGGTCCTGTTGATTTTCCAGTACTCAAACCATTTTTCCTTCCTTCCTTCCTTCCTTCCTTCTCTCCCTTCCTCCTTCCCCCCTCCCTCCTTCCCCTCTACCCTTCCTTCCTTCCTTCCTTCCTTCCTTCCTTCCTTCCTTCCTTCCTTCCTTCCTTCCTTCCCTCCTTCCCTCCTTCCCTCCCTCCTTCCTTCTTTGCCTTCTTGGGGTTTGAACTCAGAGCTTCACATTGAATGGTTCAGCTTGCTTGCTTAGTTGGTGTTCTACCATTTGAGCCACACCTCCAGTCTGGCTAATTTGCTGCTTAAATTGAGATGGAATCTTGAGGAACTTTTCTGCCCAAACTGGTTTCCAACTGTAATCTTCCAGGACTCGGCCTCCTTCCTGGCTAGGATTACAGGTGTGAGCCACTGGTGCCCAGCTAAGAACATGAAATTCGATAGACATCTTGATTCGTCAGTGTGTCAGGAAGCCATCAGAAACGCGGCATTACTCATGACCCGATTTGTACACAAATGACAGCAGATTGTGAAATGGCAGAAGTCCCTCTCTGCCCACTGAGGCTTCCCAGAAGTGAGCCGGGAACCCCCCAGTGCATGGAGATTTGTCAGGTCACCCTGAAAAGCTAGGGCAGCCTAGCCCACTCCAACCAGACAGAGCTGAGATTTATTTGCTCTCCATTTGACCTGGGTAAAGCAAAGCTCAGGTTTCACCTGATGAGGTCATGGTCACCCTTTTCCCCACAGGAGTAGCCCAGCAATTCCAGACAGCAGAAGAGCTGGGGAGCAGTCTTTGTGTGTTTCTTGGGGGCGGGGGGGGGGGGGGGGGGGGGGGTGGGGGGTGGGGGAGGGGTGGCGGGGGGCGGCGGCCATAACTTATACAATGGAAAACGATCACTTGATAGCCTCAAGTTAGCTAATTTCCCTTAGGGAAAGAACTCTGGTGTTTCTACAATAGCTACATACTTCTTTCTTTTCATTTATTTTTATTTCTTGTGCCAGTCCTAGGGCTTGAACTCAAAGCCCGGCTCTGCCCCTGAGTGTAGCACTCTACCACTTGAGCCACACCTCCCTTTCCAGCTTTTGGCTGGTTAATTAAAGATAGGCATCTCAGGCTGGAGGCAGGAAAGGGGACAGTTTTCACTTTCCCTGCTGTCAGTTAGTTGTGGGTGGCACACAGATTACACAACCTGAGTTCAGGAGCAGCGTGGAACTACCTAGAAGATACTG